TGTGGTATGCCTTTATCTCCTTGAATCATAAGCTGACAGTAAAAAGTGGTTCTTGTCTATATGACAATTCAAGTTTGAATTTAGCAGAAAAATAGCTTGGTTGGTGTTGTTGCCTAACAACAAGAATGTTTATAGTTTAAGCCATGTAATTTCCCTCCACCATAATGTGTCGCATGTATAAAAATAATGATCATAATTAAAAAGCTTTAATCTTGAAAATAAAATGGTTTGGTACTGAATGAGTGGCGCAATGATCATCAACTTTTAAACTATTTATAACACCTGCATGAAATGTAATGCATAAATAATACAACAAAATGCTGTGCTCAGTTCCAAACCAAATGTAACAGGAAACAGGAAAACATTTGCACATGTCGAGGAGCGTGTCAGGTTACATTTCACTGTGTGTTATACTTGTATAACTATGCATGTGACAAATAAAGAACCTTGAACCTTGAAAAACACTGTTGATGTTGTTGTTTTTTTGTTTTTGATCCTAATAAAGTGTAGTTTTAGAAAACACTCATTTCTGGTTGGGGAAATTTCAATTGGCTGTCGCAGCCATCAGTCTACTGTTCACCCAAACATTGTAGACATTTAAAAGTACATTTGCATGATTCACTGTCTTTTTATTGTTTTGGTAGGATAAATAAGCCCAGTGCCTTTTGGCTATGGTTTCATTGTTGTTGTTACTAGACTTTGTTGTTCTGATCTTTGTAATTTGAAAATGCTTTTTGAACTAAGCAAAGAAGCAAAAAACTAACCTTGGATATTTATTTAGGAATCAATATTCTACAATCAACATTCTGCTGGATTTTACCATCTAGATTAAAAACCTAAATCTACTTCTCTTTTCTCACATTGTAACTGCTTATTTCATGTCAGCGTATACAGTCAACATTCAGTTTGTTTGTCAGGTCAAGTTAGTCCAGCTTGCTAAATGTCTCTTTTTATCTTTTCAGAATATCAAACCAAAAGGACAAAATGGCCTCGGACTCTCCGCGCAGACCGAGTCGTTGTGCTGGGGGGGTTTTGGTGCGAGCACAAGCTGCTACGTAAGGACACATCTTTGTCATCTATGAGTAAACACATGCACTGTATTTCTAAATACCAAGGATAAGAAATAGTGTACTTGATGAAATTGGATGTTCGATGATTCATGTGATCTCATGAATTGAGCCTCCTTTAAGTGTTTTTACACAGTAGTGCACAAAATCTTAAGCCACCCCTCATTACTTGATATTTTGCTATTAAAATGGATGCAGCGATTTATTGAAACGTGCAAACATATATGGCACAAACAAACTTTGTACAATTCTCACAAGCTTGATAGTCAATATTTGGTATGAGCACTTTTATTTAAGGATATTCCAAAGCACTTCTTTGTTCACTCACTCCTTTTGTTTCTTTTTCTGACAAGATGATCCAACATTACTTCAGTTATTTTGAGGTCCAGCCAAGATTTGCTACACCACTGGTCAAATGCAGTTCCAAACTATGGAAGAGCCTCCATTGTGTTTTACAGATGACTGTGATACACTGTTCTTTGCCTTTAACGTATCAAGAATTTAAAATTTGGATTATTCACTCAGTAGTTGATTTAACTAACACATCTGTGTTGCTGTTGATTTTTGGTCCAGTTTTTGTGTAGTCTGGCATACTCCAGCCTTTTCCATTTTTTCAAGTACACACTCCGCATCATGCCGAGATCATGTTTTCAGCTCAAAGCTCTTTGGAAAAACACTGAAAGACCCCAAGAAAGACGGGCGAACTACTGCTCAAGAACACTTCAAAAATTACAAAAAGTCCAGCTCTTTGAAAGCAAAATGTAAAGAAATGAGGGGCTATTCTTGACTGTACATCCATTTGATACTTACTTTTGCTTTGCTCATGTAAAACCCTATGCATTAATGTTAGGGTGTAATTCCAATGCATTCTGCACATTTGTTATGAGCTTTTTGTTTTCACAGGGAGCAGTCTTACATGGAGAGTGTTGTGACCTTTCTGCAGGATGTAGTACCTCAGGTAACTTTCCTCTTTTTTTAATTCATTTTTTTTTTACTGAATAGACAACAACATTATTAGCAATTAGCATACAACATTGAAAAACCACACTGAAAACAAATTCTAAATATTTTTACAGCCTGTCCCTAATTTTATCAGTTTTATTGATACTCGATGTACATTGATTAGAAACCAGAAAGGCAACAGGGAGGGCCTGGTTGAAAATGCAAATGCAAATACAGTGTTGCAGATAGGTCTTGCATCCTTTAGTATTATTCCTCAGTGTTGTTCATGTTTTTGCTGCATCTGTTTTGCCTTCTTTCTTTCTACAGGCATATACTGGGGCTCCACCCACTGATGAGAAAGAGAAAATCATTTGGGTTCGATTTGAGAAAGCTGACATTAATGGTATGAACTCATGACTCAAATATTGAAAAGCCGTAGTCATCCTCTGTGTATACGCTGATCTACTAATTTAAAACTTTAAAAAGTCTATAATACATTATGCCTTTCCAACAATGTATTGTAACAGTGTTACAAGTTTTAACTTTACTGTTATTTACTATTGCTCATTACACATTTTCTGTTTGCAAAGACACTGCACGCAACCCAGAGTTTATGGAGATGCACAGTGGCACTACTGACCCTCCACTCTGCCTCATGATTGGCTATACTGATGGAATGCAGATCTGGAGCGTATCTGTAAGTTGCATCTAATTGGTCCTTTTTTTTTTTTACTTTTCTGCCTTAACTTTTCAGAGCTGTGATCACTTCAGTTTGTTTTCAGTGTAAGCATCAGTTAGTTCACTGCTGAGCAAGTCTTTTAAACCTTTCTAAAGAAAGTGAAGCTTTTCAAATTACAAAGTGTAGATAACTCATCTATAAATATGTCTGTGTGATTTTCTGTGACTCATTAGTGATACTCCTTTTTTGAGAGTGTCATCAACCAATATTGCCAATCTGAAAGATTAAAATAAACACAGCTTTTACTATGTCAGCAGTCAGCATTTGTTAAGCTTGTGCAGTTGGAGGAAATAAACTGTGCACTTACTGGGCTCAGAACTCAAATGTTGGCTACGAACATTTGCTACTCTTGGACCTGACAGGATCTGACTAAAAAATGCATATTAATTTGTAACTTGCTATAGCCAAAATACTTGCTGGCAGTTCATTGAATGAAATGCTGGCTTGTTAAAATTTAAGTACCAATGGTGTCCATTTATTCTACTGTAATGTGCTGTCATGATCGCTGTGTTGGAAAACGTTTCTTTTTTCCCCCAGAGTGTTTGCTAGTGGTTATCTAGTAATTAGTTATTAGTTATCTTGCTAATTGAATTAATTGAAATTCTCAAGAAAATGTTTTGAATATTTTATATCTTTATGGTTGAAAAAATAATGAAACTGTACACAACTATAGTCACATACTTTGAAATGCACACAAGAAGCAAGAATGAAATAAAATCACTCAAGTAGGTTCGAAGATATTAAGAAGTAATATTGCAAATGAAGCTTACTAAAATAAACTTAAACAACTCAATATGTTCTTATGAACCCCTGTGGCTAACCTGGATCTAACCTAATCATCACTTCATGCTTTAAAGTCAAGAATGTGTTGCAGTGTAGGTCCGTGTCCACTAGCCGGCGATGTTGACCATGTTATGGGTTCTTTGATACAGATAGCGGCACTTCTTACAGCTCGTATCATGTCTGAGTACTATGTTAGGCATGTCCACCTTTTTGTGAGTAAAGGCTACGGAGAAAATGGAAAAAAAGAGTAGAAACTCACACAGCAGTGGCAGTGATTGACCCACATCTTCACGGGCAAGTGTGGCCACTTCAAGAATTCTCCTTGCAGTACAGAATAGATTGCAAAAGAGATTCAACACCTAATGCTCCTTTTAATGTTGTTCTTTCAGTGCCTGTGTTTATCACAGGTTTAAAAAGCCTGGCACTGACCCGTGCCTTCCTTCAGGGTCGAGTCTTTTTAACGGTGTGGGAATCAGTCCATTACAGCTGTTGGCTACTGCTGAAACTCTCCTACATGTCCATCAAAATTCATGTAATCACATTATCACGATATGTATCAAGACTGTACAAACCTATGATTTATTTTTAAAGCAACAAAATTTACTTTCATAGCTGGATGATATAAAAATACACATGGTACTGACACATAAGACTAGTGAGGAAATTGTGATTGTGCAGTTCAGTTAATGAAGGATACATAATTGCAATATTAAGCAAGTACTAATCATAATAATATGACTTTAACCATCTTAACAATTATCAAATAATATTATTAATATTATGATAAAAAAATTAATGAGTATATTACTTAATGATGTTTTAAGAAAAATGTAGTTGGTTCTATTGTGTGTCCAGGATAATTTATAAATGTATTGTGAGTGATACCTGCAGTTCTGCCACACTGCAATGTCATGTTGAATGTAGCCACAAGGTGGAGACCTATTGATAGGCTGCCATGTTATGACATGCTACTGATTGACAAGATATGGATTAATGTGACCTCTGTTATCTGTAGGACGGCTCTGTGCCACAGATAATAATTATCTGTGGCAAAACGAGTCAAAGTAAAATGTTGTTTAGGGCAAAAGTGTTCTGTTTGGCTCGTATTTCTTTTTACATAATGTTGGTGAAAAAGTAGTTCCTGTCTTCAAATATGTTTTTGTAACTTGGACAGTGTTAAACCTGGTAGAGCCCTCACCCAGAGTGGGCAAGTTATTTAGTCTTTATAAAAAACGACTTCTTCAAAGTCAGACTTGGAAAATCATTAGAAGATTTTGTCAGCTTTGTAACTTAACAAATTATCCACAACACTGCGAAGGCTTCGCTCACCAAGTATCGCCTTTCATGTGGAGGCTGTCACAGAAATATGCAAACTTCACATACATCCTGTGAGATCTAAACACACCGAAGTCCTTAATCAGTCTCTTTATAAACATCCACAGGCCACGGCTAAAAAGACACACTCTTACTTTATTCATGATCACACACGTTGACCAGAATGATGTGGCAAATCTCGTGTTGTGAGCAGACTTTCTGTTGCATTGTGGAGGAAAGGATTACAGCTGTTTTAGCAATGCTACACACACCCGGTAAAATAGCCTCCTCTGCCTTTCTGTTGCAACTGACACCAATTCTGCAGCAAAGGCTGGCCTGTTATTGCACACTTTCCTTTTCTATTGTTTTCCTTTTAAGTTTTCAGAGTTTCCAGGATGTTTATGGGTTATGTTTTTTTCACAGGCTTTTTAAGTAAGCACCTAAGGTGCCTTGCTCTCTGGCTTTTGAGTGGCCGTGAAGTGTTTGTGACAGTTGCTAAGCCAACACCCTCTGTAATGGCTCACCAGAGTACGAACACACATTTACACACATGCTTTCACAGACTCATGAGGCGGGGACTCTGACTGGTTGTATGGATACTGACAGAGGTGTTCAGGTGATGTAGATTACCGTCACCTCTCACTGGAGAGGTGTCACCGAGCACTGCGTGATAAGAGGCAGACTGTCATAGACTAATTGTCTGCGATTGTGTTGATGAAATGCTAAAGTAAAATGCCTGTTCGGAGTGCGAGTCGATGTGTCGAGGAGTTGGAGCCATCTTACAAAAAGGGTCAAAAACCCTCTCCTTTATAATTCAGAAATATTAATACATGGATGGGCATGGGGAGTTTTTGTAATCCAGACACTGATATGCAAGTTACACAGAAGGAGAGAGCTAATACAATCTGTTTAATCTGCCATAGCTGTGCAGGGTTATTTATGTTTAATCAGTTTGAATTTATGTGCCTTCCCAAGGCTAATCATTGTCCGCTAATCCTGTTTATTAGAGCCTACTAAAATAGCATTTATTAGACTAACACTAAAATTCAAGTGTTAATCTTCATTTGAAAACTCTAGGGTCTGATATAGGTGTGCTTATTTTTTTTTCCCTCCACAAACTCAAACCATGAACCAATTTCATAAATAACTAAACATTTGTTATGTGTAGTTATTTATTTGTTCAACTACTCTCTGCTTTGATGATTGTGTTTGTGGTGTTCCACACACAAGGGAAGTCGCAGAGTGGACAAACTATGCAACATCAGCACTCATCTCTCCCATTACTTTTTAATTTTCATTTGTCGGGCATTGTAAATGCTGACACTGATAGATAAGCAACCGATAATATTGGCCTGTTTTAAACTGTCTCCCCCCCCAGTGACTATATAATATGTAAATCTACAGTAAAAAAAAAACCCCAACAACTTTATTTTAAAATACATAGCACATAGTGGTGGGACTCTCAGATTGTTGCACATGAGCACTGAAGCAAAGTGCTTTCCTCCACAAGTCTCATTCACCCAATCACACAGACGTTCATGCAGTGCTTTTAACTATACTTAAGCGCATTTAAACATACACCCTCACACCCCTATGGATGCATCAAATGCAACTTAAAGTTCAGTTGCAATGCACTGACCTTCCAACTAGAGATCACCCACTCACCATCTGGAGCACAGCCACCCCAATTTTAAATCAGTTTTGACAGTTGAAAATTTTAAAAGCATACCGAGCATACATACAGAAATATTCATCAGGACTTCCGAATGGAAAAGTGGTGTGTAATAGAGACCAGGGGTTCCATTACCCTTACCTGTATTTTTATTCGCTTGAGGATTTGTATTTTAAAACCAACATAAAAAAGAAATATATGTATAGTTTGGTGATTCTTTATCAGGTTTGACGTTTCAGTTAGTATTTAAGTGACTGTTTGTGGACAGTGAAGGGACAGAGGGGGACTGGCCATCCTACCTGTGTCAGGAAAAAGGACCTGAGTAAACCTAAATTCCTTGCACATGTATTTGTGTGTTAGTAAGTGTCTTAGCAGTGGGCACCTTTTCCTGGTTGCTTCCTTTGCAAGATGTGGAGTGAAAGAGTAAAAGCAGCTCAGTCACCTGCTTATGAGCTCCTGGAGTAAACCAATGGGCCTAATTTATATATAATTGATTGACGTGTATATGTTATTGAATTATTTATAGGACTTTGTATGAATAGAAATATGTCTTCCGTGTGTTGTATTGTGGTTTGATATTTGCTTATGTGGACGTTTGTTTTCTCGTTTGGTTTGCTAACCCCAGACTTGGGTAATTCCTGATGCTCACCTGAATGGGTGGAGTATAAAAGGAAGCCAGTTTAGAGTGGTTGGTTTTTGGTTTGTGTTGGTGTGTAACCAATAATAAAGCCCACCAGTTGATGGATAGATTTTATTCCAGCCTCATGTCATCTTGTTTGAACCTACACATGACCGTCAGCCGAGCTGACACGGTGTGAAGTTATGAACCTGCATTCAATCCATCTACCTTTCTTCTGTGAGCTCTCTTTCAGTCCTGGTTATATGTAGTTCTCTTCTATTATTATGGTATTGTGCTACAATATGCTACAATATGCAGCAATATGGTGCTAAATCAGTGAAGAGGAAGACTATTGCTTATAATAAATCTGAATAATGCTATATTTCAAATGCTTAAATATGGTTTTGCTGGATTTTCCTGAGAAGGAAAGACACTCAGCATATTTATTAGGGTTTAAGGATGCACACATTTTGATGAGCAGCACTTAATGTAAACTTTTAAATTTTCAACCGCATTCCTAAAGGTGCTTTATATTCTGCTATGTTGGAAAGTATTATTGGAGTTGCACAGATGTGCTCTCCAAACTGGTGGTCCTTACTCAGCATCGTTGGTGTCGATAGACAGATGACTGAGGGTTCAGATCTGGTCCGTACATTATGAAGAGAAAACAGAGTGGCACATTTCAATTTGCGTTGCAGATCTGCATCATAAGCAGTTCACCAATCGGTGCGTTTATCACCTCAGTGGTGTGTGTTATGGGAGAGCAAGCACCTGCTACTGTCAGGCACCTCCTCGCTCCAAACCCCCAATATGTCCAGCGCTGTATTCGTGCGAGTATCCACTTGTGAATATGGCCCAGATATCTGTTCACAGCTTAAGGCATTACATTTGAGAGATTAAAACAGAAGAGCAGACACTGTGATTTCACAAAAACATTATGTGCCACAAATGAAATGAATATAATGAATAACTATATGCAGGAAAAACAAGTTTGAAAAAGCAATTTGGCATATTGCAAACGCTGGCCGCTAATGTAATATTGGGTATGTTGTTGAAGGCAGTGGATGTCATATAGAGCCATGTAAGGCGAGGATGAGCAGTGTGAGCACAATAACCTGCCGCATTAACCTCCAGCCATCCCCTCTTCTCATTTTAATCCAGCAAATTCCATTATTCCCCCTTGCAGGACCATTTGCCTGCATAGGAATCGTACCCTGCTGCCAACCTCCTTTTATTCCTGCCATCAGTGCTTGTATAACCTGCCTGTGTCTTCAGTGTTAATCTACCGCAGCTGGGCCTCAAGCACTTTGAATAAAAACACAGCTCCAAATCCGCCACTTTGAAAAGGCTACTAATTGCACAAAAGAGCGATCATCCCCTCAGATGGGTTTAAAGACTTAAAACAAACAGATTAAAGCACTAGTAAAGTGATAATGCGGGGCTCACTGTAATTTAATGCATAAAAGAGAAAGAAAAGTAGGGCATTGTATGCTTAGAACAATGTGCCATTACATACACCAGACACTGCCAGGAACTAATATGCTGGCATCACATATAAATGGATGAAGACTAAACCCAGCTGGGGACACACACACACACACGCACACACACACACACACACACACACACACACACACACACACACACACACACACACACGTGCTTTTCACTGTGGTTACATTTGCTCTGTAAGAAAGACCAGAAATGCAGCAAACTTAAAAATCTACTCTAAGTTCAACTCTATTATTCTTACTGTTTATCTGTAAATGTAATTTCAAGTCTGTGCAAATGTACATGAACATGTTTATTCAGTGAAGGCAGATGATGATGGCAGTGAGAAACAGACAAGCTCACTCCCCTTACACATCAACTGTACAGCAGTCAAACATATAAACAAACAGCTGCTGGTTATGTAGTTTTTATTTCTCTACTAATTTTTTATGTATTGTGGTGTGTTTTTTTTTTTTCCAGTAAATAATTGGCTGCACTATATAAGCTGGACTATTTAACTTTTTAGTACTGAACAGATTGTGTGTTCATGTACTCAAATGGCTCAAGAAGGCAATCCGAGTGGAAGATGAAGAAAAAAGGAAATAATGATGCGTTTTTATTATTCTCAAAATGTGTCTCTAACATTGAGTATTAAAAAACCTTTTATAAATTGATGATGTCAGAGTCTTAGGGTTATTATTGATTTTTTTTAACGCATTGGTGTAAATTTTATGCAGTTACAATTTGGGTATTTTATTGGCACAAACATCAGAACATTTCGAATGAAACTCAGTCGTACACCTGGGCAGGGATTTTCAAATACTGAGGTTGGGAGTCTCCCCAACAACTCTTAGGCTCAGTTTCCCCAGACATGAATTAAGCTGACTTCTAGACCATAACTTCTTTCCATATTCATTGAATTTTTCTTTTAGAGTAGGACTAGGCTTAATCCATGCCTGGGAAGCTGCTGATAAACCTGCTGAAAATTTAGACTTGAAACTAAAACTGGCATTTCCAAATGTTTTGTTTGCCTTTTAATTTATTAAATTAAGTCTGCTATTTCACTCCATGTGGTTCATATTTCTGGGTGGGAAATTACCTAAGATATCATCAAATATTTATGCAACTAAAAGAAATAAAATGCAGGTGAAACAAATTAAATGAAAATGTTAGCCTTGACTTTATTAAGGAAAAACTACAATACACTGCATATTTGTAATGAGAAAATTGAATTACTGCAGTCATTTACACACATTTAAGGGTGTTTTATTAATTTGTGAGCATGACTCGTGGTAGAGTGAAATATTTTATTTATCCTTCCCACTGTCCACTTTTCCTTCTCAAAGTCGGACTGAAGCCTGTTTTGTGGCTACTGGTCTTGCTGCACTAATGACACTGCCATCATTAGATTAAAACCAAATTACAGTTTTGACCATTAAATTTTTCAGTGTGGACATATTCATTAAAAATGTGATAAGAGTTGCAGACGTAAGTGAAAAAAGAATCATTTGCCATAATTAACATAAAATACAGAACTTTGCATTGAACCCATCGTCCCCATTGTTCCCATTGCCCCCAATGCAAAATGCACAGTTCCCTCCAAAGATGATATAGTAGCTGAAAATTCAGATTTATTTATTTATTTATTTATTTTTAAAAAATTTATTTAATTTTTTTAATATAGTGTAACACAAAATCTTGGCAACGAAGAAGTCATGGGGTGGTTAATTAAGAAAGCCAGTACCTGAAGTAGTGGATGAAAAATGAAATGATGGAAACATAATTTACAGCATAAATCCAAAAACTGCTAAAGATGACAGACGTGGAAATAATAAAGGTTAATGAAACATTCAGCTACGGGTCTCCCATCATTCTATTGTATGCAGTAAATCAGAAATCAAAGATAATTCTGAATTATGTTAAGCTGGCTGTTTCTTATGTATTCTGCTACAGAGGCATTATGGGCTGCTGCCTCTTGGCATTGACCCACATCCCCAACCTCTCCTTGTTGGCTCTGTGAGTGGAGTCAGCTCATTTGTGTTGTGATGCCACTGGGACTTTTATTTTGTGCTTGGTGGATTTTACTTCGTGGTTTGGCTGGAACTTAACAACCAGACCACCATGTGGATGTTCCCCATCCTCCCTCCCTACCTCACCCTGCCATTTTCTATGAAAAGTAGTTTTACACCGCGAGAAAACTTGTTGTTTTTCTTAGTGTGAACAGATCAGATCATAGGTTTAAAAAAAAAAATGACAAGAAATTGTACCCTTTAAAAGAAACGTGTGTTTTGAAACAGTTCCCTACGTGGCCGGACATAAAGATCTCCGAACGGCCTAATACCTAAATACGTTTTGTTTTGCATTTTTTAATCCTGGTCTGTACTACTGAGTAAAAATACCTCTTTTATTGTGCTGATTTGTGAACTTCTCTTACTTTCAAGTCTAATATATGTTTTTTTTTCAGCTGGCAGGAGAAGCTCAAGAGCTTTTCTCAGTGCGACACGGTCCAGTGCGAGCTGCTCGCATTCTGCCAGCTCCTCATAACAGTGAGTATTTTCAGTATCGTTACTTGAATATGATATGCACCTACCTGCAGTTAAGCACATATTGCATATTCTTGCTTGAATAATTATACAGTAGTGATGACATGATTATACAGCATTAAAACCATCGCCAGGTGAAGTTGACAACATTTGTTGTCAGTTCTTTTATCGGTGCTGCTGAGAAACATTTCTGCTGAGGAAACACAGAAAAACAAACACAGCAGGTGTCAGTATTTTTCACATCTCTGCTATAAGGGTAGAGATGGGTTCCTTTAGTTATTTTTATAAGGTATTAGCTTGTTGGCAGGATCTTTTGGGTAATGTGCTGTGGGATTTGTATTCTGTGCACAGGCTATTTATGGTGTTTTGCAGTGTGCAGCCCACATTGGCTGGTAGAGGAGGCTGCTACTGTCATGGAGCGTCTTTGCTTTCAAAGGCTGTTTAAGTCCACAACAGTGTTCAGCTGTGTATTACGCATCAAAAGTAACATCTACATTGATATCAGGACCTTAGGTTTCATAAACACACTGCATGATTGAAATGATGAGATGGTCAATGTTTTCCATCCATCAGTGATTTTAATGCTGTTGATCATTATGTAGCTTTCTTTATGGTATCAGTGGTATTAAAGTTCCACATCTACATATCTGTGTCAGAAGAAGCTGCATTCAACTGTGAAACACAAGCTTTTATACCTTGTAGTAGATAAAATCTCAGCTCGTGTTGTGCCACCTTCAGATGCTGTCTGAGATTTTTTTTTTAACAGTAAATGTCTCTTCTGAAACCACACAGGGATGTGGAGGAAGTTCATTTAAACATTTTTCCTTTGCAAGTCTCCTGAAGTGTCTTTTCAGCATAATTCGGAAATGTCTGTCCTGGAAAAAAAACTCTGGTTAACTTGATTTCAGCATCCAAGGTCAACACTTAAAATTAAATTTCGGATGGCCTATTGTAATGCAGTTTTGGGTTGTGGGCATTTTAAGTGGTGCTATATCATTAAAATTAAAGAGTGCTCCTTGGTTCCTCATCCTAATGTTGTCGTAAATCTACGATTACTGTTAGCCCGCTCTCAGTCAGTAGTCCATATTACCAGTAATGCAGGCATTGGTGTCCTTTTGTCATGAAGAGTTTAGCCAAACAAAGGGTATCCCAAGTGCATTTTGATCAAATTTGAGTTTTGCGTTAGTATTATGTCATTAATGTAACACATGGGCCGCGGTAATCTGACAAGGATGATTGCTACAAAATGATGCCACAGAAAATCTTCTTTTAGCAAACATTGAAAAAGAATCATTGTTCATTATTAATGATGATTTTTGGATACCTTTATTTCAGAAAAGTTAGTGAATATTATTATTTTTTTAAAAAAGGAAGTAGAAAGAAAAACATTTTCGTCCACTCATCCAATTCAGGGTCTTGAGCTGGAGCCTGACATGGGGCCACAGGCGTGGTACGCCCTGAACAGGTTGCCAGTTTGTTGCAGGGCAACAATAGAAAGCTCGTAGTGCTTAATGTAAAAGCTGAGATCACACAGACCACAGTGGCTGCTTCAACCTGAGATGAACTTTAAGTACAGCAAGGAAACCACATAGAAACTGCTGTCTGGCATCTGAAGCGATCAAACAGCACCTGAATAACACTCTGTAGCTTCACCAAGTGACGTGTGAAATGCTTCCATATCCACCACCTGGATGCATGCACATGCATAATTAGTGCGTTGTAGTGTAAATTCCTCAAGGACAAAAAACAGACTGGCACGCGGAGCCTCCTGCATAGACCCCCTCTCTTACTATCTGATAGGGAGATTTCCGTCACTCACCCTAAAGTTGACTCGCAGATTTGGAAAGTGTAATAGAGGCTTTCAAAATCAGCATTTTGTGATTTACATTACTCACAATTTGCTTTTATGAGTAATGTAGCGTGGTCCAAATGAAAATTACAATGCAGGAGGAAAAAGAGAATTTTTGTGAATCAGTATATTGAACAGTACTTTCAGATTCATTTCTTTTTGGAAGGAAACATTTCCCATGATGTTCTGTGAATGCACGTTTGATCTGCTTACCTAAGGCTGTTTTATATGACCTGAATTACAAACAACGTTAAAGCATTTCATTTCATTTGTAATGTAAGTGAAATAGTCCCAGTAATGACAAACAAATGTGGCACTGGTTCCACTCATGGAAGGTTGAATGCAGTATTAATTGCAGTTCACATATTCTCAAAGTCATGGTGCAAATGGTCGACTTGTTCCACTGATGAGACTCTTTACAGACATGACGTTTAAATTTAATCCCTGCAGGTGTCAATCGGTTCTGTGAAAGATGGTTTGTGGCTTTTTTTTCCCCGGTGAGAAAATCGTCTTTGTGCTCGCCGTCTATGTTGCAGTCTTTTGGCAGATTTCAACAACACACAATGGCAGCTTTTGAGGAGTGCTGGAAGTGGATAAAAGCAAACCACAGTAATAAGAAGCAGCAGATAGCCCCAACACATGAGGGGAGTAATTCTCTCAGCAGAAAATAAATATGAATTGTACCACTGCAGGGAAGGACACTGATTGTAATCTGTTAGGGTGCAAACAGTGTTGCACTGTGGCGAGCCATTAAAAGGCCAATTGTCTGGGATATGAGGCTGTGGGTGGGTGGACTCGTAAAGCCCTGAAAATAGGTGTTGATTATAATAAGGAAAGGTTCCTCCTTCCTGGAATAGAGAAGGAAAAGCTGGTTTTCCAAAGGAAGTAAACGCGTTTATCCACATCTCGTTTACGAGCTGTGATCTTTTGTTGTTTTGGAAAATGAAGCAATGACTTCTCTGTCTGACAACAAATGAGCATTGAGGAGATACTTTGTGAATGCTCTCTGGTCTTCATGCTAGAGGAAATGCCATGCAGTTTAATATGTAGCCTGATGTTTCGGGCGATGTCATAGTATTATTTAAACATACACTTACTTGTTTCTGTTACTATTCATTGCAATATTAATCAAATCAAAGTTGCTCTATGCATCTTCCCAGAATGTTTTCTTTTTTTAGTTAAATGTGCCATTCACCAAGTCTCCAAGGAGCATATTTATGTTCCGGCTCAATATCTTGACTGATGACAGAAACATGAAAGGAGAGAAGGATCCTGTTGGTAGTGTTAAAGGCTGGTACGGAAGGCAAGTTTGCTCTCATGCCATACCACAGGAACTTGGGCTGATTACTGTCAACCCTCAAATTACAGTCCTCTAAAGGGTAACATCTTCTTCAGTCTAAGCACCCCCGTCCACTCAGTCCCCTTATCCTTTGCCAAACTTCAAAAATGAGACAATTAGGGAAAATATGGGATCAGAAATACTTAATGCAGCATGATTTCTCTTCATTTTTCACATGCCCACTGGACTTTGCATTTTCAGTAAGATTTCTCCATCATTTTTGAGTTTTGTTAACTTTTTTTTGGAGGAACAAAAATGTTTGTTTGTTTTTTTTAAAATTATTTTACATCAAGCTTCATTTATTCTTTAAGCTCAAATTTACAGTAGAAAATCAGTAGAAACTAGCAAACAAAGTCTTTAAATTAAGTGATTCCATGTTTTGGGTGGGAAAAAAAAATCTCCATTTATCAAAAATATTTTGCAACCATAATTGGATTATGGGGCAACCATAGTAATGTAATCAGCACGTTTCCTGCCATGGTAATAGCCTGCCTGTTGTATGAGGGTGGGGAGTGCTCGAGCCCTCACATGTTTGGTAAAGAATGTCTCTCTTTGTTGTGTGCAGATTCTGCTGTTTCTCATCTGGCTCTTCCTCTGACTCCTCTTCCTCCTCAGGTCCTGTAAAGCTGGACAGTTTTGCTGACAAGAGGCCCCTCCTTGGGGTCTGCAAGAGCACGGGGTCCTCTGGGTGAGTTCAGGCTTCGTTATAAAACTGACATCACTTCCTGTCGGTCACCCATAAACTGCAATGCAAAATAGTGACTTTGCTTCCCCTCTGTTTATAAGTGATGAATTATAGATTCACATCTTTCTGCTATAATGTTGTGCTATTCTGTGCGATAAGTGACTGACAGCTTAACTAGTGGAGGGGCAAAAAATGATGTTCTATAATGTCGTCTTAAACTTAAAGACTAGATGCCCGTTAAGCTCTGTCTTTGCCTAGTAAAGACAGGCATCTACTTTCTAATTAAAAGTGCACTTACTGGAAAGTGAGAAACTAAAGCAACCTGTGTCTCATGGGATTTAGCCGTCCTTTCTTTAAAACCTGCCAATAGTGTTTTACTTTCGGTGATGTTATGAAGGACAACAAATGCTCCATCTGAAATCATTTTTAAAAATAAGAGGCATCAAAGGACACCCAACATTTTGTTACGAACCCTTCACATGCAACTTGAGGTGAGCCACCCATGTGGGCTTAGTGACTATTAGTGGCAGTGTGGCTGGAATGCGAGCAGTACCTGAATGCCCCACAGGCTGGGAGAAGGGTGATGGAGCAGATGTGCAGAAGCCTGGGATTGTTAGGGTTAGGCCTGGGAATGTCATGTCTTTGTTTAGTGCAAGAAAACTTACTTCAAAAGTGACAGACCCCGAGGCATCTTGCACTCCCTTCTCTATACCCAGTTTGTGCCCTCCCTTCTTCCCCCGTCTTCCACTTACTTATGCTGCTCTTCCAGAGCAACACAAAATTTAACTCAATATATCCTCCCCAGGAAATGAAATAAGGAAGTCTGTCTTCAGCTGGGTCTCGATGGAGACCACCTTCTTGATGTTTTCCAGGAACTGCCGCCACTGTCTCTCTGACGCCATTGCCATTGCTTCTGCTTTTCCTATGTCCTCACTGACACTGAGACAGGCAGCGTTTTGACGGTTTGGCAAATCACCCAGGCGTCGTTCAACACTAATGCTGAAAACATGTACTGTGTTGAAAAGCAGAAACCCTGACCTCTGGCTGAATGGCACAGCCTGGTCCTTCCCTCTACAGAAGTGCTCGGTAAATAACACTTTGGTCAAAGACAAGAAGGAAAAAAGCTTCCGGGTGCGGCGCTGTACTTTCCATCGGGCCTGTTCATAAACTTACTAAGGTCCTCGCACAATTTTTAGCATATAATCATTTTGAAATAACAGCTTTTGTTAACCACCAAAAAGGATGCCGTCCTGACACTTAAATGGAAAACAGATTGGACTCTTGGCTGCTATAGCAGTGCTGGTTTAGAAGTCGGTTCAGTCAGCTCTAGGCTTAGATTACAAGATTTGCAAATTAAAGGAAAACCAGAGAAGGGAAAAAGCATGTGTGCTAAAGCGCTGTACTTGTGGATTTCCAGCCAGGCACACTCAACATAATTTTATCAATGGAAAGGATTATATGTAAAGTCCAAACAATGTAAGGATCCAGTGATTTTCTTGACAGTAAAGCTACATATGCGTCCCTTTCACTCTGTACCAGTGCCAGAGGGCTTTAGGAATTAGTAAAGACTGCTGGTGCCCTTGCAGACCTTGGTGTGTACGTCTGCTCACATTTCTGGAAAAGATTTAAGTTTCCTTCCCTTTCTAGCTGTTGTTATTATTTTCAGTCGTTTTAATTACATCCACAGGTATTAGTATTCTCAAAGTGATCCTCAGTGAAATTTTATGGGAAAGACCAAGGCGACTTAACTGTTTGCGGGTGTTTGAGTGCACACATATCTTGGGCAAAAGTTCAGTGATGAATAAGTGTGCTTTGTTCTCTGGAGTGACATTTCCAACCTCCATCTACCCCCTCACAACATCTCCACATGCCGAGAGGATGTGGTCCCCTCAATATAGACTTCTTTCACCATCAGAATTAATACTGCACGGGCTATTTCTAGACTCTAGTTAGTCACAGTCACTACTGAGGCCATGGACAGGCTTTTTTGAAGGGTTGCACAGTATGTCAAACAGTAAACAGTGTTCTACATCCTGAATGCCCACCTCAAGCGGCCCTTTTATTATATTGTTTTTTAAAAAGAGCGCCAATTTCAAAAGGCGGATGCATTGCACCACTGCTCACTCCTCTTGTGCGTCACTGCTGAGTGTTTTTCTTCTAAAAAAAAAAAAGCTACACACTAGGCTGTGTAGGTTATTTATTTATATTACAAATAAGTATTTGTATGTGTTGCTGATGGGGCTGAAAATGTCTGGTAGTGATGTTAGAACAACAGAATCATCAGTTCACTTTAAATCTATAATTGTCAGTTGACAGCTAACTTCATTGAGAGAGATTTTTTTTAATTCTTTTGTTTTTTAAATCTATAAAATGGTGTATTTTGTTTTTACTTGATATACAAAAATGAAACATGATAATAATACTTAGACAATAAATGCATTAGTACCTAGAGGCACGACACGGATGGATTTTAGTGCCACTATAGACGTGTCCATGTGTCGTATACATTGCGTGCTTACGCCTTTGAAGGACAGATGGTTAAAAGCTTTCCTAACAAAAAGCCCTTAAATGGCGGGTGAGGTAATCGAAGGAACAACAGTGAGCATACACCCAAGACGTCAATCAAAGAGACTAGAGTCTGTGTATCACACGTGGTTATTAAAAGTCATTCAAAGTTGTTTTTTAAAAAAAAAATTGATGTTATTGTTATTGGTTACAGCTTAATTAGCCAACAGAAGCACTTAGTTAGGGGCTTGGAAAAAAAATCATGGTCTGTTTTAGAAGTGACCTTTTCATGACATTAGCCACATGTCCATTTTTATGGTTACCAAGGCAACATTTTCCTCATCTAATATGATCGGTTGATCACATTAGTCTGCTGTTCAGAGACAACGTGCACAACACACATGACCCTAAGTAGTCACCTTCATAAATATGGCTCCTTTTAACCCTATTTAAGCGATTGACCAGTGTTTCCTGTTGAGATTGGGCAAGCAAATAAGCCATGCTTGCACAATAAATGTGAAAAACACATTGACAAATGGATAGAGTTTTCATCTTTAAATGTTGAGGCATCAAACTATGCAAATTATCGGTGCAAGCTGATGTGCTTTGATTTCAGTTCCTACTACCTAACTCTAATTTCCCATAAGTCATAAGGTGCTGTTTCATGGTGCAGTGTTACTTTAAAAACAAACCTAAAAAGCTACACAGAGGGTTGGGTGAAGCGTGCCTCCTCCCACCACTCACACTTGACAGTAAGTGCCATGCAAAATCCAAAGTAAATGTACAGCAAACACAATTTCATCCTCCTGCACATTTGCATTTAATCTGCTTTAAATCCTTTAGTGAAATATCACAGGTTATTAACTACATGGTTGGAGGCAACAAATTCCACTTAGCCCACACAAACACTTTTGATGGCAAAAGCCCATTGAAGCACTAAGCACTAAGTGTTTCAGTGCATTTTCATGACAGGTTTTGCTCTGTGCACCGGATGTATCCTTTTTCTAAAGTGTATTAAATGGAAATCGTGAAGCATTTGTATAAAACAAGCCACCAGATTAAGGGATTTGGAGAAGTGATGCTTTTTATCCACCATGAGGTTATGGTATTCTTCACTGTCACACCATGACCATGCGCACAAACGTGCTGTCCAATCTTAGCTGGAGGGTGGATGCTGCCGTGAACGTATTTAATTTGTCCTGCATCAAAATTGCGGTAAAGCTGTATCAATTATGTTCAAGATGATCGGAGTATTTAGACACCGTGTCAGCCCAGAGGACAATCCACAGTCCTCCTTGTGCCCTGGCTGGCAAAATTGGCCTTCAATTTGTGGAAAGGAATGTCATGTTCTCCACTGAGAAAACCATTTTGATCAAATTGTTCCCTGACACTTTTGTCATGCTCCTGCATGGAAATGAGAGTAGCTGTAATCTGTTCTTTCACTTCCCCTTTTTCGTTGCCCCACATGTGGACACACATACGTACTTGTGCAGTGCATAGGCAGAGCTCAGGGGCTCAGGCTTCACTGTGGAACGTTTATTTTGACTTCCATGTCTGCTTTATGTCTGTCGAAAATGTGTTCTGCCTCGCCAGTTTTCCTCCTTCAAATAGGAAGTCAGATTATACTCAGTAGTACTGGAAGTGGTGCATATAAACACAGCCGACAGGCTGAATGATTAGTAATGACTTTTCAAACTTTTACCACAGCTTCATTCTTTAAGCCAGGCCCCTGTGGTCAAAGCAATTAATATTTTATTTTACTAAAGTTTAAACTTTTCCTTTCCTCTAGATTGAAGTATATTGCAATACTATTGTAATTTTCTCCAGATGTTAACTGTTAAGTAACACCCACTGTTGGAGGGCTCGCTATCAGTCTTAGATTAAGGCTTAACTGGGCAAAAATAATCAGATGCCTTTTTATGGCTGTAAGTAATGAAGTTGGGGAAGTCTCATCTCTACCGATATTTAGAGGAGGTCCAAAAATGACTTTACTTTGAAGCTTCCCTGAGATGTTGGAGGAGACATACTTTCTGATTACATAATCCGATTAGAAGATAACAAAAATTGCATCCATGATAAACATGGGGCTGTAGAGATGGCAATCTCCATCCACCACTTCTGCCCAGGCTTAAATATACTAATAACGACTGAGTGGCATAATCTCTCCAGCATGTCCTTCCCTGCTGCCACCTTCTAGATTACTTTGAAATTTTGTACAGATATTTATGAATCCAATGATTTGGCTATGATTCCCTTTCCTGTACTACTTTTGGTAAGTGGGCATTGCACCAGCCACTATTACATCCCAATTGTGATGCATTTATATGCCTCCAGCAGCTCATTGTCACTCCCCTAATAGGAGTCCTGTGCCTTTATGACTAATAGGGCACACAGGCTTTTCTATTGGTCTATTGATTGCAGAACAACAAAGATTAAAAAGTTAATTATTACTTTTTGAGTTATTGCACTAAATATATTTTACTAAATGCTAGCAAGTA